CTCCCAGGAGAGACAGATCAATTGCACACCCCTTTTTGAGGGGTGTGGGCGTGGGCCGTGCGGCAAGGGAGAAGGGAGTGCGTTTATCAAAACCCCAATTAGAAATCAAGCCCAGACCATGCTTTCTGATAAATAAAATATGATCCAATTATCAATAGTGAAGAAATTCTGGGTATTGACTTTTAGATGGGAGAGAATGAGGGTTTTGAAAGGACTCATTGAGGCTTTGGGGAACTTTTTAAGAGTGGAATTAAGATTAAAACTGAGGGAACCAATGACTTTTGACTACTATGAATAGATGTTTGCTAAATAATCTACTACAAGTTGGTCAAAATGTGGGTGAGACAAAAAATGAATATGATACACATAAAACGTTTTTTAACATAATCTTAAGACAAGAGGAGTAAGTGAATGTTAGTAAAGACCAGACCAAGGTTTGAAGACTACATGGATTTCAGCACTAGACAACAAAACAAAATACCACTCAATTACAAACATAATGTATACTCCACAGTACACTGATAGTATTATTGATTCACCAAGATAAGAAAATTGCTAACTTATCACAAGTCCCTTGCCTGCAGTTGGTTTTTCTGCGCGCAAAGGGAGGGACTTGCGTACAAAGTCAAAATTTGGGCTGGAACAGGAAATAAGAATGGCTGGAATGAAATTTGTTGAGGCTCTGGCTCCTTATCCTAACCCTCTACAAGCCTGGCTCAGGGCCAGATTAAACTTTTGGGTCCCAGCTTTCATTTGAAGGTGGTCTCATCCCTTCATTTGCCCTGGTTCCCCTTCTACATTTTTTTTTTGAAAAATGATTTTTTCTCAAACACCCGAAACAACAATCGACCAAGATTCACAAGGAAATCAAACTTATGAAGCCCAAATGCTCATGGAGATGATTGACAAAACTGTCTATTCATAATTCCTTTCAAGGAAGTGTTTTTTTTTTTTTGAAAAATCATTATGTGGTATTAGGCTTGAAAAGCCTTCCTGTCCCAGCCAAATTTTTGACTTGACTCATAAGCCTCTCCTCCAGAGAGCGTCCCGCGGGGAAGCCCCAGGAGAGTGTCCCGCAGGGAAGCCCCAGGAGAGGCTTTGTTAAGCTAGAAAAAATTGTGAGATAATGATTTTTTAAGGATGAGGAGGACAGAGAAGATGAGGTGCAATAGAACAGTTTATTTTTCATTTATTTCTATGTTGCTCATATATCTAGTCAATTCCAGTCATAGAATTATTCATTCAGCAATACAAGGGTGAGATTTCTGGGATGATTTTCCAGCAATAAATCCTCAACACCTGCAGGTACCTGCCCTGGCGGGTGCAGGTTTGGGTAAGGCATTGTCCCGAACTGCCCCGGTCCCGGACCCCGAAGTTTGGGACTTGGGATGGGGTCAGAGGAGCCCCGAAACCCCGTGAATTTGTGGGGTGTCATATAGGCTTTGTTTCATGGGAAAAAACGGAGAAAAACAAGCAAAACAAGAAGAAAAATCTAGAAAAAACAAGAAAAAATTAGAAAAAATTAGAAAAAATAAGAAAAAGACACGAAAAGAAACAAGATGAGGGCTCAGAGCGGAATTCACGGGGCTTTGGGGCAGTCCCGGGACTCCCGGGGTCCGGGACTTGGGACAGCCTTCCAGCCCCGTCCCTAACCCCGGGACAATGCCTTAGGTTTGGGTGTCCACTATTGGATTTTTGAGGTGGGTACCCCCCCGCTCTGGGTACCCGGGTATAATGAAGTGAGATGTCTAATTGGGATTATAAGGGGTGAGAAGCGTATAAACAAATTGCACTCCAGCCATTTAAAATTACAGTCAACTCTGCTGTAACCCATACTGTTGAATAAACCATAGTGGAATGGCCCCACCAAAATCACTAAATTTAGTGTAAAACCCTCTTCAATAACCCATACTCTCTACTAATCCGTAGCATTTAAGTGTCACCCACGGTGAATGGCTTAATGCCGAGTTGACTGGATGTCTCTCCTGTCCCAGCAAAAAAAAAATCGACATAATCTGCAAGTCCCTCTGGCCTGGGCGCAGAAACACCGACTGCAGGTGAGAGGGATTGGTGATCAGTTCGATAATTAGAACCTCTGTGATCAGGAAACATAATCCCCCCCAGTAAATATCTTCCTGGATCCGCCATCTTGGTGCGAGTCATATTAAAAACTGGAGCTGGATCTTGTCGAGCATTTTTGATTGCGGCCATGAAGGTCCTCCTGCAAGGGGTTTTGCGACGAGGTCTGCGCTCGAAAGATTTGCGCTGTCCGCGGCCGCAGTCGGGCCTAAACATAAAACAGCCCCGAAAGAAATAATATACATGTTATAGACACAGCTGACTCCTGAAACGAACAACCGCCCGACCAAAGCTGCAAACGAACCACGGCACATATCAACCCCAGACCGATTCGAGTGAATATGGTTGCAGACATCCAAGAATGAAAGGAAGGCCAAGCGGAGGAAGAGTCGACGCGTGAGTACGATTCCATCGATCCCAGAACCTGAGTTTTCTCTCTAGTATTTGTCAGTCGGAAGAGGGGGATGATGATGGACACATGCCGGGGCCAGACTAGACGGCCAGCAGGGCCTTTGCGACCCCGAGCAGCCTCGACCTGCCCGAGATCCTCTTGATCTTTTTTCGAGGGGGGCGACTCGCTCGTCGGGGGTGCTGGTGGACCACATCGTCTGTTGGGCCGGCTTTGCGTACACCAACCGGTTCTTGTTTTTATTCTCTTCTCGATTCGAGTCTGAATCCCCCCCTGTCCTTCCTTGCGTTTTTGATACTCTCTCTGTTGACAAAACAAAAACAAAAAAAAAAAATGATAGGATCTTTCCTCATCTTTCAAGGTTACTGACTCGTCTTTAATTTTCGGCTGGATCGTGTAGCAGGATGGGACACAAGCGTCGGTCCGTTTGAGTCACCCACGCCGTCCGTGACCCACAACAGAACCAGCAGAATGTGTTGGTCTGATCGTCCAGGCTCTCAAGCGATACAATGCAAGACTAAATAAAAACAGTCCATTGGAAGCCGCCTCAACAGTCTTGGTCACACCGAACAAACTGCGCAACCTCATTCCAAAATTCGAATCCTCACTTATCAAACAGTTCAACGAACCAAGGGAGCTGTATAATTAATGATATTGCTGATG